ATAAAGGGATATTTGCCCCAACTTTCTGCATTGGCGAGGGCCATTATAAAGATGTGATGGGTAAGTACTTCGTGTGAAGTGAATCGCCACACTTTTTTCGGGATTTACTTCTATTTTCCATTTGCGGAACCAATCGCCGAGGCGGTCGGCGTCGCTTTGGAGTCGAGGTGTTAATTGGCTAAGGTTGCAGTCTGAATAAAAGAGCGCCGTGCCGTCCGCGAAAAACGCGAGATTGACGTGGGGGTCTTTCGGTATGTCGCTCGTGTGGAGCCTAAAGAGCAACGGTGAGAGGTGGCTTGTGGAGAGAGTGCCCTCAACTCGATATCGAAAAGAGCGGTTTGACAGGAAGGCCTGGATGGTGCGTACGAGCTTATCTGGCACTTTGAGTGTGTACAGCTTGTGAAGCAAGCCGTTGTGCCAGACTTTGTCGAATGCTTTTGCGACATCGAAGAAAACAGCCCCTGTACTAATTATGTTTAGGGTGATTTAATCCTTTTAAGATATGTTCCGTTAGGCGAAATAGTTGATCGGGACAAGAATGTCTAGCTCGAAAGCCGAATTGCTCCACCGGCAGAAGACCGTTGGAAAACACGTGCTATTTGGGCCTGTTTAATAATAGCCGCTCGGAGAGCTTCCCCAGGCAACTGAGGAGGCTGATGGGACGATAACTAGAGGGCTGGTTGGCTGGTTTATTCGGCTTGCGAATGCCGATAAACGTGGCTTCTTTCCAGTAGTCCGGAAAGGAGCAACTGGAGAGTAAAGAATTGTAAATGGTCGCCAGTAAACAGATAAGCGGCCCAGGGAGAGCTTTAAGAATTTTGTTACTAATATTATCCGGGCCCGGGGCGGATTTGGGTTTTAGGTTTTTAATAATATCTTGGAGATACCTTACTATAACCAGTATGTAGCTATTACAGAATAATATAAGTGTTGTCGTGCATTTTTCGTGCATTTTTCGTGCATTTTAGTGAACTCCTTAATAACTACAGTGAAATCAATTTCTTTTGAAACAGAAAAAACTACCTATAAATTTATTTTTGCTGATTGCTTTTATTGCCGGTCGAATCTTATTTTATTTTTCTCATCCATGTCCATATTCTATGTATGTGTATATAAGTAGATTTTTCCACTTCCAAGACTAACTAAATAAACCTTAAATAATAATACATATACATAATACACATACAAAAGTGAATAAAAAAGGCTTGTAAAATTAGATCAACTTCTAAAACTTGGGGCCTCATTTAGCTTTGCCGCCCCAGGCCTCTGAATGGCTTAATCCGCCACTGATGTAATCTCACCTTACTACTACTTACTAAGCAACTACTTTTGATATTTGTAATAATGTAATAATATAAAAAAAAATCTTTCCCGTGTTAAAATCTGGTAGATATTGAATTAATTACATATTACATATTAAATACACAATTTATTGCATAATAAGCAATACTACTCCTATTCCAGCTTTTTATGAATATTTTTAAAGCTTGGAACCATTATGAAATAAGAGGTGCCGCACTCAATCTTCTGACATCGTACTTAAGCGATCGGACTCAGACAATTGACGTGGATGGCAAGAGATCTCCCAGGCCCTGGTCATCCATCCATTGAAGGGAACCTGACAGGGGCAGCAACATGAAGTGGTCTTGTGGTGCCTGCAAAAACAGCGAGAGAATTGTGAAGGTTTATTCCTCTGCGAAGCGTGCAAACTTGTTATGGAATACGGAGGGGTACGGGTGCGTTCCGTAAAGAGACCGGAGCCCCTGCCAAGGTAACGAGGGTGGCCAACGATGGGGTTTTAGTGGGTAAGTGCCCCACATAACCCTGTCCTGCCCCAAATTGAAAAGCAAAAAATAATGGGTATGCCTTGCTTTATCACAGACATTTTTAAACTATGTCGGTTCAGATATTAGTACCTGGATGATCAGTTTTTTTTTCTTTTGTCTTCAGATTTCGGGACCACCCGATTTCCCACTTGAGTTATTATAACCTTGTTTATTTTAATGTTAAAAGTTGCCAAGCGAGCAGGCAGTTCACCTGATGTTAAGCGAATACCGCCGCCCATGGACATCTGCTACGCCCGAGGGTTACAGATGCGTTGACAATCTTTTGAAGATTGGGCTCCGGCTACCTCACTCACCAGATGAAACACGAAACTATTTGTTATACTTCCCCTTTACGTCGGTCTTCTGTGAGGTCGTGGTACGTACCCGGACGCGCCTGCCCATCCGTGCAACAGCCGAGGCTACAGCGTAGACCTACCACAGTTAAATGGTGCCCCAGTGAAATAATAAGTTAAATTATGGTGGCCAAATTTAACTTATTATTTACTGTATTTTAATGATATTTTAGCAGATTTTCTTTGCATGAAAACACGGATAAAACGACGATTTCTAAAAATGAAACCTAGCTAGATCAATTTATCGCCCCTGAAACCTACCCGCTTACTGAAGACCGTTGCAGTCGTTTCCAAGATTCAGATTAGATTATTACAAAAATCGAATGGACAAAATTCATAACATTTGTTTACACACGCGGTGACCATGGAGAGTTCATGGGGCGATACTTGCTTCCGAGTGACGACAGTCGCACCGTTTGATTACACTAAGCGATTACATTATTATACAAATAAATTATTGCTTAGCAAGATACTGCCGCTCGCTTTCTTTATGGTATCCCCGTGTTAAGAGTCGCACCCAGGACCATAATTCTTGAACTTGAAAGAACCCAGTGTAATTCCAATTTATACCATTTCGTTTCCGATCACAGAGGTAAAACAAATGGCAAAAGTATTCACTGACTACCGCCTTTTTGTAGGTTATATATATATATATATAAAAATGGATTGCGGTTCGTTAGTCTCGCTAAAACTCGAGAACAGCTGGACCGATTGTGCTTATTTTGGTTTTGAAATATTTGTGGCAGTCCATGGAAGGTTTAAAAGATGAGAAATTATGGAAAACCGAAATAGCAACAATTTTATTTTCCCATACAAATTGTACCTGTCAACCTGTCATCTATGCCTGTGTAACCTGTCAAACGCTTTATGCGTGCGTTCCGATTCCTCTAGAAATAATTTATATGGCAAAACAACGTTTGCCGAGTCAGCTAGCCATATAATATATATAAATATTCCCGAATCTGATTTGATGGGATCCCAAAGAAATCGAAGGAAATCCTCAAATGTTATAGGTATTAACAATAATAATAATCATTCATTTCTCATGACGCTGAGCTGATGAAGAGAGGTGCTTAGGATCTTTATCGGTTAAGAGTTAGGCGATTTGTTGTTTTAGAACAATGTATAGAAACTTGTCGATGTCCATTGTTTCAAACTGTTTTCTCTGGAGACAACAGAGTAAGTACTAGAAACTAGAAGTCTAATTCATTTTAAATTGTAAATTTATTTTTACTGTTTACTTTCCTCTTTTTTTGCCACAAAATATCGAAATTCGGATTATAAAAGAGGCCCAGAGCGCGCTATGGGGCCAGTTCTGTGAAACTCTAAGCTGAAGGAAGATGAAGAAGAGGTGAAAAAAGTGAAGTGGAAAGTGTAGTCCATGTGACAAGATTGTGAACGCCGGGGATGGGTGGGGCAATGCGAGGGCCGTCAAACTTTTTTGAAGCGTAAGTGAAGCATTGGTGCGCAATGAGAGAACTATCGCACCTGTAAAAGCTAGGTAAAGATTTTGTAACGTACAAGAAGGCCGAGCACGTTAGTAGTAAAAATAAATTTTTAGATCTAAACAACCGGCGTTTCACTCTAATCAACAAATAGCTCGTAAAATTACATTTATATCACATCAATACATTTCTCAATTTATCATACTTTCTTCCACGACACGCAGAACAGATATTAGAAAAAAAAACATGTCCCTGCCACACGGCAGGTGAATACCGTGCTGCCTGTTCAACCGCTCGTCTAGGACAGGACGTATAACCGCTTAAGTCCCTAGACAGGTAATGAGGTGAGACAAGTGATGCAGCATGCGCCCCGGGCTCCCAGGGCAAGGAGCTAACCAATAGACACGCTGCCCCCTGGAAATCCTTCGATAGCCTCGACAAACAGCCTCCTGATTTTTAAGTCCACCACAACAGTGGGGAGATCTCTACTAAGGGCTGCCGCTGCTCTCACTCGTCACCTTTGTAAAAAAAAATTCTATATATAAATATAAATCCGAGATAGATATATGTTAGGAGATATGTTACTCCTAGAACGGATAACTATATATATATATATATATATATCTGCTATCGATAGATAATCGATTATCTATCGATAGTTATGTATATAGCAATAGGTATCGGTGGTCTATTGATATCGTATCGATGGCTCTCCAAGTGCCAATACTATTGATAACAGCAATTTCATGAAAATATATCTGTAATTGAAATAATTATAATAGGTATAATTATATATAACAATATTTCGTGTTTAGAGTATTTCCGATAAAAAAATATTACTTTAACATAGTCCATTGAAACATGAAATAAATCTTAATTTAGTTGACTAATAAATTAAAGTAAAATTGAAACATTTTAGCGTATTTTATAGTAATAAGCATAATTTTGGCAAAATTTTATCAGTAGCAGCTTAGCACATTTTATATTAGTCTTGTTGGCAACATTGCCATTAACCAAGACTGAAGACTACAAGAAACAAGTAAAAATTTGATGGCAACATTGGAAGCAAGCCATATGCGATTCGGTCGATCGGCATTCGCCATTTTGTTCGTTGTATGGTGGTATGAAACGTACCTATTCCATTCTAATATAAATTAATATTATGTTCAGTTCAATATAAACGCAGTTTTTAAAATAATTCATATATTTTGAAAGAGCGGTAAGTTTAAATACTTTACTACACATTTTCAATTTAAAGACAAAAATTATCGAGAAGTTAACAAAATGGCGTCTGTGTAGCGTGCGAGGAGGAGGCGTTAGGTCTGTAAAGAGATTTAAAGTACCTATTTCATTATTTTAAAACATTACAGGCTAATATGGAGACAACTTTGGATGCGTCCTTAGTGGCGCAATCCATAAACTACCATGGGCAGCAGTTACAGAAGACATGGGAGTCTGAGCGAGGGGAAGAAGACTTGTCGAAGATTGGCGTGGGTGGTTTAGATTTTGCCGTGTACCAGTCGAGACACAAACATCTTACATTTCAAGACCGTAGCAAACGTTTAAAGCTTCATCAGTTCATTGCTAAAGAAGCCAACGCGTTGTTCGACTCTTCAATCATGGAGGAAACGCCATCATCATCCAGCTTGGGCGTTGATGCGATAACGCCAGAAGACAGTAAGTGTATTCTTTGTATGTATGTTTTCATTTTAATGAAATATTGTAAAAATGGCTAGTATAATTTTTTACATTGTTTACCTAATTATTAACAATTAAAATAAAAAAAATGTTTTCTGTTAACTATAGCATATTGAACATAATTTTTAAATTAAAAAAAATCTTTCAGATATGTACGCTCTGATGCCACCTTTTGAAACATTTTTAAATGTTGATAAATCTGCAAGATTAAGACATTTCTTTGAGGTAAGCATCCATACAAATTTTTATTGTTAAATTCTTTTGTGTTATTTTTCTGATAAAATATTTTCTGTTACAGAATGTCAAAACAGGAGAATTGATAATTGGAGCTGTCATCAACAGGACTCAATCGGGGATTATGCTCAAGGTGTTGTGTACTGCTGGCCCTACCTCAAGACTTGTAGCAGATATCAATGTGAAGGTATTGCACAATAGGATGAAATTTTTTAAATGGTTAAAAATTATTATTTAAAATTGCTTATCAATTTTTGTTCATGTTAAAATAAAAAATAGGAAGATAAGTATATACAACATGTATTTATTGGACTCTCATAACTTTGTTCTAACACTTAAAGAGAAAAAATGTGGAGAACATTGGTCATAAAGTCATAGTTTTAAAAATAACACTGATTTAAATTAATTAGTACTTAGCTTCCAGAAAATGTATCATTTATGATAGAAAAGTTGTATAGCTTAACTTCTACCATGCAAACTACTATTTTTTAAAGCAGTGGACTACAGTGTAGTGTTCTATTTTGCTAATTGACGATTTGACATTGTCAAATTTCAAGTAAAGGTGCTATGAATTTTATTAATTTTTTGTAAGATATATGAAAACGGAAAAAAAATATTCAATAAATATACATGAATACTTCGATACCGTGCAACCGCAATAAAATGAAACTGATGGGAATTAAAACATATTTGTGTTACCTTGTAATTTGTTACAATGAGGTTTGTTGTACAGAGATTAGATTGGACTACAATTTGTTTTAATAAGGTAGAAAAATTTATTAACCTCAACATTATGTAGATGCTTATCTGCTTACCCTGCTAACAGTTTTAACATGGCTGAACCTGTCAAAACATTTATTACTATTGTACAATTAAGTGGGAATTATTGATAGGATATATTATGTAAAATTTCTAAGGTTAAAATAAAAATCATAAACTATTTAAAATTCATAATTATTCAAAATTCGTTATTAAAGGATTTAATAAATATATTCATAATGTAAAGGTATATTTTGTATTAGCTTTTATAGACAATTCTAGGGGATTTTGAAAAAATCGTTAAATCAAAAATCCATTATATTAATGAGGCTGTTATTTTGCGGTTGCACTGTATTGGATTCTAGTACATAGTCTTGTTATAATACCTTAAAGATTTGTGTATTTCAAAAATTGAATAAGATAAATGTAGTAATCAATTTCAACTCCTGATATTTTCTTTTTCGTTTTTAGGTCATGCTACAGTTCATAGCCAAAAGTGAAACACCCTGTCATTAAAATTAACTTTGTGGTATTTTCTTGTGCAGTTTTTTCCTGTAATCCTTAATAACTTATTCTATTTATAGATTTATGTGAAATATATTGAGCTTATTTATTATTTATCTTTTGAAACTTCACAGACAAAAATAAAAAATATCTGTGATTCTATATATATCCCAACCAATAAGAAATCTTTATTTTTTACATAAGACTATCATATAAGTAATAATTATTTTTTTTATCAGGCCTTCCTACCTGTTGCAAATATCATACCAGCGGTTGACAAGAAAAATGTATCAAGAAACTACCTGATGAATGACACAGTCTGCTGTGAAGTGATAGAAGTTATCCCTGATACGGACAAAATGGTGTGCGGCATGAAAGGAGTTACTCGGGGCCCAGACGACCCACCGCCCAAGCCTCCCCTTGGTCTCCTCAGCACTGACGACTTTCCACTAATTTACAAGTATGTACTACCTTAAACTTAGTGAATTAAACAAAAATATTTTCACACTTACAGAATGTTTGGTTGATGCTATGTGTAACACATTTTGTATGTGTTAATTTTATATTTAAATGTTATTTTGTGAAGATCTATGAAATCAGTGGTATCAACTATACATAATAAAGGCTTATCCAATTAACAAACATACTTGATGTCAAATGAAGAATATAAATTCAAGGATTTTTTATAAATCAATCAGGAACAGTGGCATCTAATGGATATGGACTAAATAATGGAATTTTACTTGGAACTATGTTTCTTCAAAAACAGAAAACAATACCTCTGCTTTTATAGAACATTAGAAGAATTTCTCAATGTGTGATGTAAACACTGCTGCATATTACCTCAGATTTATTTCCACACAAGTTGAAAGCTCAAGAGAATATATTATGTTATATTTTGTGAATTTATACTTCACTGGTTTATGATCACATTTCAGTAGAAATTTACACTGCTCACTCCAAACTTTTGAAGTTGTGCAATAAACATGCATGATAATATTGCTAATATTTGACAGTTGAGACATTAAATAATTGGAACTTGAAGGATGTAAATTGAACACTGTCTTTGAAGATTTTTATATTTTCTTAATTCAAGGATTTGCAAATATTAAATCAAATTGACAGTACACATATATTTTTCTAAAGAAGGTCAGTACTCTACTATAGGGTTCAGTTGTACAATCTGATTCTGTGAATGGGATTCTTGTAATTCTATATTAAAGTTGACATTTAATATTCCAGCAATTATCTGAAACAATTGATTGGACTTGTACTGTAATGAACATTTATTGGATGTTGGAGTTATTTATTTCTAATAAAATGGACTAGTCACCAGCACTTATCTATTTAGCTGATGTGAGGCTTTCCAAGAAAGAAAATATAGCGGTCGAAGGTGTTCCTGCTGTTTGGCATAGGTGTTCTGGATATGGCTTCTGATGGGCCATAAAAGGAACACTGTTTTGCCTTTATTTTAGGGTGTTTTTTTCTAGGTTTAGCAACGATCCCCAAGACCTGTTTGTCACACCTACTACATTGTGTTGTGACCGTAGCTGAGACAATTTTGGTAATATTAATGTCACATCTTGAGGCGGCATCACCTAATCTATGATGTTCTATTTGTGTGTGAAAGAATAAAATACCAGTAAAATAACATTTTTAGAACAGCTTCAAGGGAACAGGTGAGGATTATGTTCGTGTGACATTACGCAGACAGTTTTGATAGGATTGTAATCTTGAAACTAAAATAAATCAAGTTAACCACATTTTTTGTTTTCAAGTATCATTGGAATGACTTCGTAACATAACAAAGGAAAGACATATTTGTGTTGAATGTATAATCCACTTATTTATGTATCCTTTGAACAGGAAAACATTGGATATGAAGGGGGAAAGTTATGAAGCCATTTTAGAGAAGAGCCCTGGCTTCAATAACCCTAACTGCGTCCAATATCTCTCTGAACTCCTTGGAATAGCTAACATGCATTGCACGAATTTTGCATCACTAAGGTAAAATACGTTCTAATTATTTCACTTATTTTACAAGTATTTTTTTGATTTAATATATATAGAGAATTATTTCTTTTCAACAGAGGAGGATTCCCAACAACAGAATATGCAGATGAACTACGTCAGGCACAAGCCAGCAAGTGGGCATTCCGCTCTGTAGCAGAAGGTATAGAACACTTCAAAGCTGGCAGACATTCAGAAGCATTCCAATGCCTCAATAAGGCACTAAGTATTGACCCAAGAAATGTTGAAGGGCTTGTTGCCAGAGGTGCTTTATATGCCAATAGTGGAACATTTAAAAAAGCCATTGAAGATTTCGAGACTTCTTTGAAATTAAATCCTAATCATGCTAATGCTCGGAAATATTTGGGAGAAACTTTAGTAGCCTTGGGACGCAGCTATGAAGATGAGAACAAAATAACAGAAGCACAAAAGGCATATGAAGACTGTTTAGCTATCATACCATTTCATGAAGAAGCTCAAAATTCTTTGGATTTCCTCAAGAGCAAAACGTCTACAGCAAAACCCCTAATAGAACCTGCAGAGCTGTTGCTGCCTGGTCTTACAGGAGCAAAGTCATTTGAAATGAAAGAAACACTGAAGCAGTTGCTTAATCTAACAGAAAAAAAGGATAAGAAGAAAAAGAAAAAACGTGGAAAGGGAAAAAAGAAGAGATCCAGTAGTTCATCATCATCATCGAGTGACTCTACAAGTTCAAGTTCTTCATCAGAATCGTCGTCGTCATCTTCTGATACCAGTGGTAAGGGAGTTTCAGAACTGTGGCTTGTATGTAAATTTTACCTATAACTATCCATCATCACTATCCCGAATGCAAATGTCCCTTTGGAAATAGACATTTATTATTTTTGCAAAATTTATTAAACCTTATAAGCATTTAGCACAGGCTTACAGCCCTCATACACTAAGCGATGTATCCGAAAGTAATAACTGAATTTTGTTATTTTAGTGGCATTTGCATCTTTTGCATAAGATCACTATCGATAAATTTAAACAATTTGAATGTATTAAATTTCTGAACTTTAATAAAAATTTATTTTTCCAAAGATTCTGAAGGTCCCAACCGCAAGAAAAAAAGGCGTTCGCAGTCCAACAGTAAACGGCAGCGCTCCCTGTCGCCGCTAAGTAAACGCATGGCCATCCTGGGTGATGCCGACTCAGCTTCCCGCACGCATAACTCGCAGTTTAACCATCCTTATGGTTATCAACCACCTCCACCACCTGTAGAAGAACCTAACAATGTGCCAATCCGGTCTCAAGCTGATATAGATTATGAAATGAAGGTATGTAATCATTGACATAAATCTCTAAAAAAAATGCAATTTTCATTTAAAATCTGATAGAAATCTAGTAAAGAGGACCACGACCTCGCAGAAGACCGGCGTAAAGTAGAAATGTTAATTTCTGCGTTTCGTCTGGTGAGTGAGGTAGCTGGGGCCCACTTTATTTAATGATTTTTTAACGCATTTGCAACCTTACGGGTGTTGCAAATGTCCATGGGCGGCGGCTATCACTTTACATCGGGCGAACCGCCAGGTCGTTTGCCACTTTTTCACATAAAAAAAATATGGATGTTGTAAATTTCCATTGGCGGTGGTTATCAAATAAACTAAATTTTTAACTTTTATTATGTATGTGATATAATTTAAAAATGTTGTAATATAATTTGTTTTTGTTTTCATTAGGTGCGCAAGTTCCTCGAAATGACAAAAGAAGACTCAGATTATGAAGACAAAGTTCGAAATTTCTTAGAAGAAACTGCACAGTACAAACGTAACCGCAAAATGCAAGAGCTAGGACAGCAACCACAACCTGGCGCCGAACATGACAAGAAAAAGAAGAAGAAAAAGGATAAGTGAGTATTTAAAAACAAAAATTATTAAAGCATTAATGTTTATTGAATAAATCATTGTAACATAGACTAGAAGCGATGCAGAATTTTTTCTCTTATTTGAATTACCAATATAGTTAATACAAGAGCCTTTCTTACCTTCTTTTTATTGACATTAGGAAAAAGAAAAAGGAGTCCAAGAGGAAGAGAAAGGAGCAAGAAAGAGAAGACAAACGAAAAGCAAAGTTGGCGCGTTCTGCTGTCAATAACTCAGAATACAGCTTACGAGATTTGGAGAGCATAGGAGACAAGAAACTGAGGGATGCTATCAGGTATAACCAATTTTATAGGTCTTTGAACATCTTATGCTGAATTATGTATTATTATTTTCATCATCTAGAGCCAATCTTACAATACCAAACTATCACACTAAATTATTTGTGAAATAAAATTTATAAATTAACAGATAATTAGGCTTAGACAAAAATTTTAAAGTTGGAAATTCACAAATATTTGCTTATTAGTAGTTATTACAAACTTGGAGAAGTATATAGTAGAAAGAATATTTGACTCTTTTACACTGTAAATAACATTGATAACACTTGTTTGAGAATTATTTTAATTACATGTTTCTTTAAAACAAATCATATTTATTTTTTACTATAGTACCAACCGCTTTTATATGCTAATGGAAATTCTTAAATTTACAGAAAAGAATTGAAAGGAAAATCTAAGAGAGATCTCAGTTCTGATGGAGAGTATGAAAGAAAACACAGTGATAAAAGGTACTTATTAATAAATCTTCATTTGTCTTTGTTGAGCATATGTTTTAAAGACTTTACAAAGGACTAAAAGAATGTTGTTCTAGATCTTACATGCTGTTAGGTTGAGCATAATTAGGTTTTAAACACTTATAAATTACCAAAAACTGAACAGTAGCCTTTTATTTTAGTATGATTTTTATTTTGATAAACATTAATCTACTACCCATTATTATCAGGTTGTTAGATGACATGCCAGGCTTGGAAGAATTGGAATCAAAACTTAGTGCTTATCATGTTATGGTGGAGAAAGAAGTATTGGGAAAGCGTGACGGACGCAACTCGGTGAGCCCTATTGACCAGGCTCCGCCGCCGCCACTTGAAAAGCCCAAGTGGAAAATGTCCATGAATGCCGTGAAGGAAACGTTAGTATAATTCATTAATATGTATTTTAAGATTAAGATTGTATTTGTCAGGAAAATCTATTTTTAACATTTAAGCATATCTATTAAAATTTCCTTAACATTTTAATTATAAAATTTCTATGTTAATATAATATATTTTTAGTATAAAGGTTATAAATTGTATGGAAGTAAATATGTAGCCCATGTACAAAGACTATTTTTCCAGTAGGGTTAAGAAGAAAGACACACCAGTACAAAAGGGCTACAAAGAGCGCTATGCATTCGAGGACAGCTCGGATGATTCGCAAGAGCCATCCAAGGTAAGTCTTGAATTTTAACAGTGGCATAGATTTGAAACATTAAAAATTTGGTTGCTAAATGTAATGTTGGTTAGCAGCCGTCGCCTTCGAGTGGGGACAAAAACGTATCGGTGCGACGTGCGATGGCAATGAAGGAGGCTCCCCCACTGCCGAGTGCGCCGCCGCCTAGCAAGTCGCGGGAACCCGACCCACCAGGCACTGAGCCCTCTCACCACCAACATCACTCTCATCCCCCGGTACAATACATACATATGCCAATCACTTCATATTATAAAACAATATCATTAGGAATGGTATAACATATTCGAAATGAATCTAAATCTGCTGTTACCTTTTTCTTTTCTCCTTCTTACTTTAATGTGAAATTGTATCATTGGCATTAGAATTAACGAAAATTAATAAATTAGTACTTAATCTTTACATTTGGCCTGGATATATGTGGTTTTCACGCATTCACAGTACGATAAAAATAATCCTGTATAAAAATGTTTTGTATAAAAATTTTAAAAGGCTACATGGAAACTAAGAAATCCGAATCCGCTGTTGCGAATTCAGATTTCTTAGTTTACATAGATCTCACTTTGACGTGTAATTCACAGGTGCGCAAAGGCAATATAGTGCTAGACAAGTTTGGTTCGTTCCGATTGGCGCAGGAGGGCGAAACCCCCGTCTCTGTTGGCGACGGGCGGCCGGAACAGTTCGTGACGCGCATCAAGCCGCCATCGCCGTCGGGACGCCGGCCCCGCTCGCCGCCCTCGCCCCGCAGGCACTCCTCCAATTCTTCGGAAGAGGATCGACGCTCCCCCAAAAGGTCCAGAAGCAGGTATATGCGTCACATTGAATGCGCACCGGGACCAATGAAAGTATTCATGTACTTCCTACTTCACTAATATGTAGGTTGTCTTAAAAATTAATTACATCAGTAACCATTGCAATTTATTCAACTATCATTTACCATAGAAGTAAAATTTGTTACATTGCTCGTCACAAAATTTTTGGTTTCGATGACTTGCATTACATTAAAGCGACATAAGACGCGTTCTAGATCTTGATTTAGTATGATAGCAATCACTGAGTCCAGAATTGACAGAGAGGAAATATCAAAACCTCAAATAACATAAGCACTTTTGACAACCGCTTTCCTATCCCGAACGTTTAAAGACAAATGTTGAAAATAATCGCCACATGTTCACTCTGCAAGTTTTTTTAATATAAATAAAACTTACAATTATATAATTAAAGGTACTTAGCTTTATACAGCGTATTCAATCATATTGTAATTCGACATAGTTACGAGCACGAGGCAATGAATTAATTTGATTGCGATTATAAACGTTGTTGTCGCAACAGATCGCGGCCGCGCAAGTACCGCTCAAGGTCCGGATCCCGGTCTCGGTCGGCGTCGAGCGGCAGCGCGTCGCCGGCATCGCGCAGGCGCCGCTCGCCCTCGCCCCGCTCCCGCTCCCGCTCCGACGCGAGCCGCTCGTACTACTCTAGAAGCCGGTCGCGCTCGCGATCTGGCTCCAGAGACAGGTGTTGATCTATTCCATCCTATTGAAAGCACCAAAATAAAGGTGTTTATTAATGCTATCTGAGATGCTTAAGGTGTGCATGAGCCACTAAGCTAAACGGCTGATTGCCACACTGACGAAAATCTTAAGCTCTTTAATCTTAAACTTAAACTTTAATTTTTTATAGTGCTAATCTCTGCACTTAAGATTAAAATTTGTGGAAAAAGCACACGCTCAAGCGTCAGGCCGCAAAAGCCGAAGACGTGGGTTCGATTCTCACACCGGCCACAATCTTTTCGTACTTTTTCTACAAATTTTAATGCAATAGAAGGTAAAACAATTTGAATATCATCACATATTTAACAATTTACATTTTTAACTGTACCATAAAGGTTGTTGCCTCTTCTCAACAGAGATCAATTTATCATACCGCAATCTCTAGGAATCGCCGTTTCAACCGGCGCGGCAACTGGCGGGGCCGCGGCGGCTTCGAGCGCGGCACCTACTACCGGCCGCGCTTCCACACGTACAACGGGAACAGCCGCGGCCGCGGACGGGGCGGCGGCGACTTCAGGCGCGACGACGGCAGGCGCTTCCAGCACGAGTGGCGCGACAACCGCTCGCGCGGCGGACGCCCCTTCAGGCCGCGCAGGGGCGGCGGCGGCAGGGGCAGGCCGTTCAGGTACCGTTCGCGAGGGTATCGCCCTCCCCCGTGCGGCGATCGATTTATATTTAGTAATATCTACCTTCAAAAATCTGTAACTGTCTTCACAAGTACGATGTTTGGAAATACAAGAGTGAAACAATAAGATAAATAGATTGTGATGCAAAGTACAGGGTAATCCTGCACCTCTAAATGGACCTAAATGTGTAATGCACACTTGCAAGTTTCGTGTTTGTTTTGTTAATCCAGTTGCTAAGAGGAAGGCTAGGGATTTGAATATTGGTATCCGCTACAGATTATTGTTTTAGACCTTGGTTATCTGTCAACATACAATTTGGGAAAAATGAAAATTTACTGTATATTGTCCCATCAATTAATTGTATTAACTAATATCTTTGCTAAAACATCGTGGTTAACCAAGCGCTCCTCCTAATTTGTAATAAATAATACCAACCTCAAACCGGAGACTAAAAACATTCTTAAAACCTCGTTTGAGGATTGCCCTCGATTTCTCTGGAATGCATCATCATATCAAAATCTGTCATAAACGACAAAGTTGTCTGCGAACACACAAAAAAAATATATAAGGTTGAATTGAGAAACCTTCTTTTTTGAAGTCTGTTAAAAAATTTTATGCACAATCATGCCTAATATTAATCTTAATCGATATACACAGGGGCGGTTTCCGTGACTTCCGCGATAGAAGGGGTGGACGATATTCTCGTTCAAGAAGCCCCGACAGAACACGTCGCTCCAGATCTTACAGCCCCGAAAGACGCGATAAAGACAGGGATAGGTGTGTATTGCCTCCATTATTTATTTCTGCATTTGTACTTTTTCTATATATGTTTATAATATGTTTGCCTGTCTGAAAACAATTGATTTATAAAAAATGTTGTCTACCATTTAGTCCCATCTGCATGAATTATGCGCTCCATACGCTTAACAATCTCCAATCTGTTTTCCTTCACTGCCCAACAATGGTAATCTTACAATCAGCAAAAAGTTTTAATAATCAATTGAGACTGTTGCTAGCTCTGGGACTCACATGGGACATACATGGGTGACTCGAGTTTAATCACATCATGGCCCACATCCAAATATTAGTTGATGCTGCCGTTTAAAACATTGGCCAGAAACAAAGACACATTAGTTCGATATGCTTAGTTAATCGTTATTACAGCTACTCTCGTTTATCTGAACGCAACAGCCACCGCAGTGAAGGAGAGTATGAGGAGGAAAGATATGTCGACAGGAAGGAGTACGACGGCAAGTGGGCCGACGGTAACGAGCCCGAAAGAAACCATGCTGAAGAAAAGTCCACCGAAGAAGCGCCCAAAGAATAGGTCACCCAAGACGCCATCACATCTTGTCACCGGTTTTTCTGTCTTAGCATTATTAGATTTAACAAATTATACTGTAAGGTGCTTATAGAGATAAGTTTCCTTTAATTCATTAATTTTCTTTGTAAATATATGGTTACAATAGTTAGTTCTTTGGTTTACTATTGTTTTACATTTTCCTGGTTTTAATTTGTTTGTACTGAATTATATTGCTTTGCAGTTAATTAATAGTGTTATAATTCTAAAAATAGTGTAGTTTGTTGTAGTGACCATTCCACACAGAAAAAAAAAATCAATCTTATCACTGATTTTACTAGTGTGATATGAAATAAAAATAACTTCGAAAAATTGTTTCTTTATTTCTTTTCCTATACTGGTGTTTTATTTTTAATAAAATGTCATGGGTATATATATTTTGGCATCACAATGATTAATAAAATTATATATTAAAATTGTACAACTCTTTGAAACTCCCCTACAAAAAAGTTATTTCAGTATGTTAACGTGGCCCTACCACAGGTACCTAAATATATATCTGTGGTAGGGCCACGCAACAATATACTGTTGCGCGAATGGGCAGGTCCTTATGGGGAAGTACCACGACCTCAGAAGGCCGGCGTGAAGTGGAAGCGTTATACTTCTGCGTATCTGGTGAGTGAGGTAGCTGGGGCCCACTTTATGAAAAAATGGCAACACATCTGCAATGGGTGTGGTAAATAATATTTAAAGTGACTGATAACTGCCGCCCATGGGTACTATAACAACAAATACTAAAAAATATATAATTGCAACTGAAAAATACAGTGGTCAAATACAACTTGCAACCAGGGATTTGTTTTTATTTATTTTATACATCAACTTACAACTATGTTCAGGGATATTCAAGAAAAACTTAAGTTGCCTCTGAAAATTTCATGGTAACTGAAACTCTTCAATCTCTGATTCTGCATGAAATACATTTTACTAAATAAGGAGGCACTTCATCCAAAGTGATAAGAAAGTAATCCAAAAAATTTAGTTCAACTATTTTCATAATTTTGGAATCCAATAGGAAGTACAAGAGTTAGTACTCCAATTTTCTATGAATAAAAGTTTTTAAGTATAGCTATGAGATATTCACGGTAGGTAGTGAAAGTTAATAATGACTATTTTAGTGACAAACAAAGGTACTGCTAATTTGTAAATATAAAATAAAAAAGAATTCCATGTTATTTATAATTAAATATTATTAAAATTTAATAATAATTACTTTTTCAAATTGTTGTACTACATTACACTATCAGTCTGTTGCATTTACATTACATTTTTACTGAATAATTCATTTATTAAACATTTACACTTAGTAAATTATACATTTAGTAAATTGAATTATTTTGATAAAAGAATTATGCAGAAATGATTTAAAAATGTTATTAGACTTTACAATCTTAATGTATTAAATCCAGCCCAAAACCCTATTTTACTTAAAATTGATTCTATGTCCTCTTTTTCTTTTTCTTATTCTTATTTTTGCTAGACTTATCAACATTCCAATACCAGAAAAGCTGCAAAACTAAAGCTGCATTAGCAACAGTAGACACACAGTATGTAAGTATAATAATGAAATCTCCAGTCTCTTGTATAGAAGTAAATATTCTAGCAATGCTGCCGCCAAACAGCAACATACATGTTACTGCTGATAATTGACCGGTGCTACCATTTTTGTAGTTGGTTATTACTTGAATGGCCTGAAAAGATTGAATATTGTTTAAATTTCAACTACCCCAATACTGAGTATTGGCAATATAACAACTTTTAAGTTGATATAATCCATTATTATATAAAAAAAATTACATAATTACCTTTGCCATAACTATTATTGGTACATTAACTGCTTGCATGGACCATAATACATCTTTGGGAGTATAACCACTAACCAATGCAGAAACAAGACCAATATAAAAACTCAAAAATGAAACTGCTTTTAAAGAACTTCCTCCAAAATGTAGCACAAGAACGGCTATGATAGCTGTTTGAACTGCGAGAAATGTTCCTTCACCCCAGGCACTAAAAGCAGATTTGCAGAATTAGAAATATTTTATTTTATAGAGAAAGTAATTTTATGCAAATAAAATTAAGCTATTCTCTTTAACCTTACCTGAAAGGAAACTTCATAACATAACTATAGGCAAAGTTTGCTGTGATAGCGAAAAGTTCCAAATAAACACCATAAACATTAATACCTTCTGCACTTTTGCTACTTAGTATTTTTAGTATTTGAGGAACTTTTACTAGTATAGACCCAGCTATAATACCTATTCCAAGTCCTTTACTCAAACTACTTTTAAAACATGGTACTGAAAAAAATATAATACCATTAAATAAATAACATTAATGTTTGTCACTTAAGCCATATTCATGTAACTAACCATCAAGAAAATTATAATCGAGAAAATACACATCGTAACATTTTTCTGTTAATACTGTTAAAAGAAGTCCTTTTATAAATTCAGTCATCTTTTTGGAACTTAATTCTACGGATAACTTAAAAATTACGGTTGAACTTTAACAGATAAATTTAGCCATTTAGATATAAATTAAATACTTCATCGAAACTCGAAACCCCGAAAGACTATTAAGGTATAAAATATAAATGTAAATGACGGATGCGGATGCAGCCAAGCAAGCAACCAAGCAACGAACACGAACAGTAACGTCAATAATTGATGGAATGACGTGTAATTTAATGTTGCCAAGTTAAAATGAAGTAAGCCACTATAATTATAATCATAATATGTGGGCATCATACATTTTTAATCTTTAGATCACAAGAACCGTTGTGCTTGGCCGGCCTACTAGTAACTAGACCAGGCGATGATCCACGGAATAGAGAAAACAACTGTTTAATTCAGTAATTACCTCCAAGGAATGTACCCGTAAGGAGACATTTTTTAAAATGTGTAGGTATGGGTATATATAAAATTTCGGGATTTTAATTCAGGTTCAGTGGCACCCTGGTAGGGCTCTGGGCAGTAGTACATCGAAAACTAAATAGTAAATTATGTCAAATAATTAAAAGAACATAAATAGTATAATGATACTGCTTCCACCCAGTCGTTGATTGTATCCGCCATCTTTGCACAGAAATGTGAAAAGAAACAAGGAGCTTTGTTCGACTATTTATCTGATATTTCACGCAAACTGATTACAAAAATTTTTCATATACTGAGTGTAAATACTAATCTTGGCCTTATCTCAACTTTTGTGAGAATGTGCAATGAGCATAACACAATTTTTGACCGAGCCGTTTACATTGATATTTTTAAGGATTCTCGTGCGTTTACAAAAAGAAAATACTGAAATTTCAATAGTATACTGTTTCTATAAACTTAGTAAATTTTTTTTTATTGTTAGGTTAAGTTGTTCTTTGTATTTAATTTTTTATGTATTAGTTATAATTTTTATTTCTTTTAAACTCTGTCACAATATTGTACATACACACCTGTTGTAGGTGTACTTGGGAGTACATGTTATTTTGTTTTATCATTTTTTATAAATTGTATATATAATCTTTTTGTGTGTCTACAAGTAAAATAATTCCGAAAAAAATAGTTCCGAAAACATATTAATAAACATTTTCACACATATCTGGGACTGGCTTTACTAGTGGTGTATTTGTAGGAATGGTCGATTGAATATCTATATTAATATAATGGTCTGTCATCGATAAACCTATTCCACATGGCATGGTGTCAAGAACGCTAGCTGCAATTCCTAGCTAATTTGTTATGTTTACGCCCGATTTCTGAAACAGTGAACATCGTAGAAATTAACGAATCTGCTGTGAAATGGCTTTTCAAATGTCATTTGAGTTGCTAAAAGGATGGTTTAACTTTCTGAATTTATCAAAATGATCTTCTAAATGATCAGAATGATTAAATCAAAGAGTTTATAATCATCCTTTTGGCAACTCAAATACATTTGAAAAGCAAGGAACTCAGGTAGAGCGAAATTAGAAATTTTACTTACAATACCGCCAAAATGAATTGGTAACGTAGCTTGTGTCTAATGAATTAACATTATGAGAAAATAGAGAAATTTAGACGTTTTTTTATTGCTGTTTTAAGATGAAAACAAGTTTCTATCAAAAAGTCACCGGATTTTCAAGCTGAACTCGAGCAAAAAAGGTAAGCGTACAAATAATTTAAATTTTTATTATTAATAATATAGGTCACGCGGACAAGCATACACAGCTTTGTTATTGGATATCTCGCATCGCTACGTCATCGCATGACGTGCAGCGGCCGTCCGAGCGAGCGACCGCCGCACGCCGCAGAGTACCGCCGAGACGTTGTTATCGAGTACACGACGCTTACCTGAATAAACCAAAAACCGTTGAATATTTAAATTTTTGTAAAGCTTCCGCTTAACCGCTATAGACGTTCTTTCAACTGCTTAACTTCCCTCTTCTGTTTCCAAACTTTCTGTGGCAATATTTAATTTCACCTTCTTTATTTTATATCCTGTTTATAACGTATATATAAAGCAGTATATTTATTTGTCGTCGTTTCATTTGTCTACATACGAAGAACAGTATGAAGACCCCCTAGACGACTACATACCTAAGAGGTAAAGTGATACTGTAAACTGGCTGCTGAAAGAGTTAAAATATTGTGGGTAAATGTAATTTTATTCCAAATTGAAACATTTTCGGAATAGAAAATTTCACATTTGAAATTTAAATCGATACCGAGATTTTTAAAATATCTAATAATTTCGATAAGATCACTGGTATGTCGTCAACTTAAACTCCCAACGTACCGTAGTCTAGAGACCAGAAATTAAGTTTAAGTTTAAATTTCAATTTTGAAATAATATAATTGAATGAATTCCCAATCCAAATAAATCTGGTGCAGACTTTCTTTACCTGCAAACCCTAAAGTGCCGTCCCCTCACTAAATACCTGTATAATCTAGGTGATTATGATGCAATTAACTTAAAAATAAATAGAACTGATTGGTATCACGAAATTCCGTCGACCGTTCGAATAAGCAATAACTTATTTTTACAATGTGCTATATGACTTGCGAAATACTCTCATTCCCTCCAAAGTTGTGACTCCGACGCAGAAATACCCTGCATGGTTTAAAACACCTCTAATAAAAATTTTGAAGGAAAAACGATAAATTTCACTCGAAATATAAGGCATTACAATAAGGGACCGGGCTAAATATTTAGAAAGAGATTATTTTAAGGAGTAACTCTCTAATATTGAGAAAAATATAAAAAGTAATCCAAAAGCATTTTGGTCATACATACGGTCAAAGAATACCGTGAAATCATACCCTGCTGAACTACGTTTCGGACATATTGGCGTATTTAGGGCTATTTTTCTGGGTGGCCTGGGCCCTTACTACAGAAAAAACTCGAACACTATGGAACTGTTAAACACCGCAACGAATTTTAATGCGATTTTCAGCAATATATATTATTCTTCTTCAAGAGGACCGCACCCGGTTTGAAATATGTTGCGAAAAAAACAAGCTAGATCTAAATATTTCAAAATGCTACATCTATTCTTTTGCACGTAAATTAAACCCACATCCCCCCATCCCACAACCCACCCGCGCCTGCGCACATAGACGTTTGAAATATGCCTCTCCAGTTTTGAATCCAAATTATAACATCTATATTGATCGTATCGAACAAATACAAAAACGTTTTTTACGATATTTGCAATTTCGAACTAAATCTTATATTTAAGACTACACTAAGCAGTGCCAAATTTTTCACTTTCTTCCACTAGAACAGGGGCGGCCAACCGGTCGATTGCGATCGACTGGTCGATCAGGACTAGGGTAAAAGCCAGATGGTTGCCTCGGTGGGATACATGCCCCGGTGTTTAATAAACTATGTTAGGAATATAAATTGTGTTGCCGCTTTACTACAATAAGTAGTGACTCCTTCGTAGGCCTCAGTGCTGCGTAAGCCATCGGAAAAGCCCTCTTGTTTTGTCCGTGTGAACAAAAATCTTCCGCGGCGAAACTTTGACGGGCGTTATGATTATATTGGTAAGTAATTTTTATTGAATATTTTTATTACTAAATTAGAGTGTGAATTACATTGTTTAATATGTTTTATTGCTAAATGATTTTCATTTATTTCGCAATTTAAAAGGGCAAGTACCCGCGTCAAAAAGGATAGTCGCGCCTTACGTAGAAAGTAAGTAGAGTAGTAAAGTAAGTAGCGCCCTACTTACTTTCGCGGATAGTTGCCCCTGGAGAGTGACTATAATTTTTTTAAACAGCAAAGACGGATTTTTTGTTGTTTTTTCGAATTTACTGTGACTCTAACTTGTGAATTAAATAAATATCTACTGAACTGTTTTATATATTTATTATAGATAAGCTAATGACCTCGCAAATATAAACGAAAACCAGGAGTAGTGCCAAGCTACATCAACTGAACAAAATATAGTAACTCATGTATTGAAGTTCAGAGATGGTGGTTTTCTTCCTGGTAGAATTGTGATTCGCCAAATAGTTTATCACTTTGGGATTAAAACACAACTTTAACAATATAAGTAAAATGGATGGACCGCAATAGCTTAGAGGCACCAGCTTACAAATTAAAAAAAAGAAACCACAAAATTGGTTCACTTATTCGAAAGTTACAGTCCAATGAGAACCTCCTCCGTTTTTGAAGTCTGTTGATAATTTGCTGGATAAGCAAGATAGATAGAATATTTAACATGGATGAAACCGGTGTCCAACTGAATAACAAAATTGGTAAAGTATTAGCTAAGAAAGATGCTAAAGCAGTTACTGCCTGTGAAAAGAGAAACAATTACTGTTCTTGGTTGTTGCAACGCTATTGGCAATTTTATCCTATCGGTTATGTTTGTCAAAGGCAAAGGTAACGGTGGTAGGGGAATGCAGCAGCCTCGGCTGTTGCACGAATGGGCAGGCCCGTCCGGGGAAGTACCACGACCTCACAGAAGACCAGCGTAAAGTGGAAGTATGACAAATACTTTCGCGTTTCGTCTGGTGAGTGCGGTAGCCGGCGCCCAATTTTCAAAAGGTTTTCAACGCATCTGTAACCCTCGGGTGTACCAGATGTCCATGGGCGGCGGTATTCACTTAACATCAGGTGACCCGTCTGCTCGTTTGGCAACT